TAGTTTTCAAATCATCCTTCTCTTATCATCCAAGAGAAAAAGAAGCTTCTGAAACCCTGCCTGTTTTGCAATTCTGTTCCCATTTGATCTTACCCAAGAGAGCCTTCTTTGTCACCATGGAGACTTGATCAAACTCATGCTCAAGCACTTAATCTTGCAATCTGTTACTGATTGGCTGATTTTCCTTCTTAGGCCAAAGAACAGCAAGTTCTTAAATGAATTCTTCTAAGGAAACAGAGCTGCAAACAAGTTGTTTAACCCCAGTCCAGGACACGGCACTTTGGTAACATACAAGATCAAATCTGTTGTTGTTTATATAACACAACTTGGAATGTTTGAAGTAAGACTTGGAAAAAGAAAAGGTACACCAGGTGTGTTAACTGTTGCACTGCTTTTCAAACTTTTCCAAGTTTGTTTCACTCTGAAAATACTTATTGAGCCAGGTAAATATCTTGACTTTCCATGAGGGAGATATGAAGATGATTAGGACATGGACTTTGGCCCCAAAGAACTCAATTAGTCTAGTATAATTGAGGCAGGAGATAGTCAGGAAGGAGGAAACTCCAGGGGTGCCCCCGAGCTAAGATAAAGAACATCGATACAGGATGGAAACCCTGTTCTAAGACTGGTAAAAGCAATGAATCCTAGCAAATCAGGAATGCACCTGTGCAGATGCTACATGACCCCTGCTTCATTATAATAAATTAGCACTGTGGGACCCACTTCCTGGTGGCCAACCAAGGAAATCATGGGATACCACATGCTCGGTAACTTTAAAGTAACATCACTGCTTGTACATGTGCAATAAAAGCCTACCAAAACTAGCCAGGAGAGACCTGTCCTATGAGAATAAAAGCCCTCTAACCCCAGAGGTCAGGCCGTGTTAACTCTGTTCAGCTCTGCTCTGCTCAGAGTTGGCCTGCTCCCATGTTCTGCGTGGCTTAATAAATCTGCTTTCTCTCGCTCTTTGCTATAAACTCTGTGTGTTCGGTTCAATTTTTTGTCCGCGATCACCAAGAACCTGGTTACCTTTGCCCACCTGTGACATAATGTCATACATGCTATAACAGAGCCACATGAGGGAAAGAACTAGAGGAAGGAATGACTAAGCCTTTTCAAATGAGGGTCGAGAAAGTGAAGAGAAGACATCTGACATTATAAAAGGCTTCTCAGCTCTGGCCAGGTGGCTCGGTTGGTTGGAGTGTTGTTTTTGTACACCAAAATGTTACGGGTTCGACTTCCAGTCAGGGCACATAAACTAGGTTGCAGGTTCCATTGCTGATTGGGGTGTCTATGGGAGGCAACTGGCTGATATTTCTCTCTCTTATTGATGTTCCTCTCTTTCTATAAAATCAAAAAAAACATATCCTTGGGTGAGGAGAAATAGAAAGAAAGAAAGAAAGGAAGGAAGGGAGGGAGGGAGGGAGGGAAAGAAACAAAGAAAGAAAGAACGAAAGAAAGAAAGAGGCTTCTCAGGTGAGGTACCATTTGGATTTGGCCTTAAACGGCGGATTCACGGGAATTCGATAAGCAGAGGAAGGGTAGTGAAAAGAAAACAACACCTGACAAAGCCTTGGGAGGATAACAGGGACCAGGTAGTTAAGAAACAATGATCTAATGGGATTAGCATATGGAGCCTGAGGTTTGTAGGGATTGGCTGGTAGTGGAGGTGGAAAACTAAGCTGGGGACAAAGGAAGTCAAGGCTCCAGGTGCCACACCTGTACAAGTTTATTCAACCTTGTAGCATGGGGAGGGATAAATTATATGTAGTTCTATTAGGACTTTGGACTTCAAATTAGGAATAATGAATTTTTCTTTTCCTTTTTGACTTTTGGCAAGGAAAGGACTGGGTTCTAAAAAGTGCATTTTCCTTAGGGCGTGAAGGAGAGATTTATTGCAGAACTGAGAGGTCTAGGCAACAGGAGAGGCAGCGATGCCACTCATGAGGTTTGCGTGATCATCTAGGGAAGTAAGCAGCCTAGGCCCGAACAGAAGGGACATAGGGGAGGAGCAAGGGGAAAAAATGATAGAGATAGATTAGAATTGATTGAGATAGAATGAGCAGGTGTTAGTAACAGATAAAATGAGATGGATAATGAATAACCAGATCCCAGACAATGGGAACATTTCCCAGAAGGCACACAAGACCATTCTGCTTAGCCAGAACTTTAGTCACATAGTCATACCTCAGAGCACTGGAGGCTGGGAAATGTAGTCTTTTTTTATTCTGGGCAACCACACAATCAGCTGAAACTAAGTGTGGACCTGTCCTGGGGTACAATAGCAATCTCTACCGCTCATACCTGCTATGCTATTTTAGTTATCTTTTTACCTTTCTCCTCTTTGAGAATGTGAGCTCCTCATGTTCTTCTTGTTTCTGAAGTACAAAAGTGTGTCTGATATGAATTAGATACTCAGTACCTGTTGAAATGAAACAAGTCCCACCCTCTTCTTCCCTTTGAGCTTGATTTTAGCTGCTTCTTGCATCTTTTGCACACTCACACCTATTTCCATCAAACTCCTGCCATTCCTTTATGGATCAGCAGGATGTTGGCCATAAAGCAGTCACTGCTCAGAATGTGGACAAGTGTTATTTTCATTATAGAAAGTGGGTATTTGCATTTTTTTAAATTAAAATTTTACCAGAACTGCCCAAAGTGGGTAGCATAAATAAAAAAAAAATAAAGCAAAACTCAAGGCAATATGGTAATTTTGGTGATTTCTCTAGTGTCCAGGTATATAATCAGATTTTTAACTAGAAAGACTGAGAAGGATAGAAAAAGCATATGGACTGGAAAAGTACTACGGCAGGGGAAGGAATTAACAATGATTTTGAGTCTGGAGAGTAGGACAATTGTGCATACCTGGCAGAAATAGAAAGAGGCCATAGTTGGGATGCATGTGAAGAGATGGGGCTGCTGGAAAGCGATTTTATGGCAAAGATGTGGCAAAACTAATCCTTATTCATAGTGAGTTTCTATCCTTTTTCAGGAAATAAACATGTCTAAGTGATATACTGAAAACGTGGCAGTGAGTTAATCACTAGTTGAAGAATTTTAAAAAGTGAAATAAAAAGCATTTACAGGCTTATTCCTTCCTCTAGTTCTTTCCCCACTTGGCTCTGTTACAGTATGTATGACATTATACTAGATAGAGTTAGTTTACCTCTCTGTGTCCCTGGGCAGATTTTGCATTCTTTGCTTTCAGAGAGTGGAAGGGAGACAGGGAAACATCAATGTGAGAGAAAAGCATTGATTGGTTGCCTCCTGTAGGCACTTGGATGAAAGATTTGTAGGTGCCTGACAGGGAATTGAACCCGCAACCCAGGCATGTGCCCTGATGGGGAATCGAAGCTGCAACCTTTTGGTTACAACAATGCTCCAACCAACTGAAGGACACTAGCCAGGGCTTCATATTTTAATTTAAAGTAACAAACTATAGCGTTGTCTCTACCCCATTTTTTTATACCTATGTAACTTTAAAAAAACCCCAACAACTTATGATGGTATTGACCAGTCACTTGAATTTTTGAAGAAATAATTGAAACTGTTATATATGGAGCCACAATACATATACCTCACTCTTTTGAACTCCTGGAAATAGCTAGAGAGATTCAGGTATAAACTTTACTCTCTCCCCAAAATTCTATAGATAGTGGTAATGTTTTCTAGAATGTCATTGAATTCTACCAGATATATTTTTTGGCTTTTCTCCCCTCCAACATTTAAGGACAATTTTTCTCTTTACTGACAAATGTTTGAAAGAATAGATTGGAAATAATCCTCATATTAATTTTTAGCATCTTTCAAAGTGTGCACAGAGGCCTAAGCACAATATGTTAATAAGAAAACAAACAGTTGACACCTCTTATTACCTTCAGGAGTACTAGGTATTAAGTCTTGAAACAAAAAATGGGAAAATTTGTTTTTCTTGAAGTTGAAGGGACTAAGGCAGGCTAGAATAAACCCAGGACCACAGGGCTCACAAGTGAATGGTGTGGACCAGGTGGCCAAAGAGTTAATTTCAATAAAGTATGCCATGTGCTGTCAGTACTTGGATGGTGAAGGCAACAGTTAGAACATTCTGCCTCTCCCCAGGGGAAACAAAGGAAGGGATGCATTCAGAAATGTGGGAGATGCCAATCATCCCTGAGGATGTTCTGGCTGTTCTTGCTTCTGAAGCCAGGTACTACCTGTCTTTCCACCCATTCACATCTCACAAAGGCATTTGGAACTCAACTATAACATTTGAACACTTTTTTTGGAGTATTTTTTTTTTAATCTCTATGATAACCTGTTTAAAAAACTCTGAATGCTTTATTAGGAAAACGTACTTGCCCACACATTTAAGGATTTCCAGGGCCTCTGGAGGTCCATCCACGGAACTGACCGCACTGGCCTCTGGATTTGGAATCCTTAGTCTGGATTTCCTTAGCTGCATTCATTAGCCCAGGGGTTTTCAAAATTCACCCCACATTAAAATCACCTGGAGAACTTTTAAAAATCCAAATGACCACGCCGCACCCAGTTCCGACTAAATCAGAATCTCTGGTGGGACCAGGCATCAATATACAGTATAACATATGTTTTAAACTCTCCGGGTGACTCTAAAGAGCAACCAAGTTTGAGAACTAACTCATTGGTCTCTTTTTGGCACGCAGTCGATCTATGTGCTCTATGATCGTTGGCTATTTTTTAATCCTTGAGTCAGAAACAGTAGAAAGGCGTCGGTCGCAGATATAATTTACTCAGAATCGTCCTGGAAAAAAGAAGTACATTTAGGTCAGGGTGTGCAAGTCTTCGCTTAGGTAAATAAGCAGCTGCAATTTTTTCAGCGAACGCCAAGGGGCACCCTCTTCCTCCTCGCTCCACCTGGAACGCCTTCCCAGTTCGGATAGCACAAAGAGCCCAGCCTCTTCCCGGGTGACATCACAAAAGGCCGATCCTCCGCCCCTTCGGCGCCACCACGTGTGTCCCCACGCCCGGCGGCCACCGACTTAGTCCCTCGCCGGCGGGTCTGGGCAGCGGAGGAGGTTGGCTGGCAGTGGCTGGAGGCTTCGCTATGGGAAGTTGTTTCTTCGCTCTCTCGCGCCCAGCCCTCTTCCCTGATTCTCCGCAGCCACTGTCGGAGGAAAGCACTGGGAGGTGCCGGTTGCAGCCGCGGCTGTCTCTCCCCGCCCGGGTGGCCGCGCCGCTGGGCAGGTGCTGAGCACCCCGAGAGCCTCCGTCGTTGCCTCCCTCCTCTGTCCGGCAGCCCGGCTGCCGCAGTGCATATGGGGTGTTGGAGGTAGATGGGCTCCCGGCCGGGGAGGCGGCGGTGGATGCGGCGCTGGGCAGAAGCAGCCGCCGATTCCAGCTGCCGGAGAGCCACGCGCTCCCGGCGCCCCTTCGAGCCCGGGGCTCAGCAATGGGGACCTCTGCGAGCGGCAGCACAGCCCTCGCCTCCTGCAGCCGCATCGCGGGAGCCACGATGATCGCGGGCTCCCTTCTCCTGGTAAGCTCTCGGGGGGCCGCGCGGGAGCAGCAGGCGCCGCTCCCCCGGGGAGGGGCGGTTGCCCGGGTTTGGGCTGGCGTGGGGGGCGGTGCGCGTTGTCAGGCTGCGGGGTCGCGGGGTCGGGCCGGCTGGGTAAGGGGGCTTGCGAGAGAAGGCAACACGGCGGAGGGCTCCGACGGGTCATTTAGGGGAGTCGCAGGGCTCAGCTGGGACTTGGGAATGAAGGCGAATTGTTTTCCTTGCAATCGAGCTTCCCTGGAGGAGGCGCTAGAGGTGGCAGCCGGTCTTCCTTAGCGTTTCACGGCTTTTTCCCTGCTCGGCCCCCTCGTACCCCCAACCTTCCTTCCCCTCCCCACCCCCGGCCGCTGCTCCCTCCGGGTGGTGTGGGCCCGGGGCTGTGGTGCGGGGCGCCGAGAGCTGGCCGCGGCCGGCGCTTTGTTGCAGCTGCAGTGTCATGTCGGGATGCTACCGCAGTGGGAGAGTGGTGCCGGTGCGCGCCGGACCCTGGAGACCGCGGGCGCGCGGCGCCTGGCATTCCCCGGCAGGGCGCAAGCCGCCCCTCCCCCACGGCTGCGCCTTGGCTCGGGTGGGTCCCAATTTTTGCTTGCCAAAAAAAAAGAAAAAAAAAAAGAGAACCTTTAGACCCACTCCCAGGCGCCTTCATAGCGCCGGCTCTCAGCCAGCCAGAGAGCTGGCACTTGAGTGGGGGAAGGGGGAGAGATCTACATAAAGGAAGACGAATTTTCCCCAGTCTTATCTAACCGTCCTGTACCTGTGGCCAGACAGGTGACCCTGCAGGGTGGGGCAGGTTCCTTCCTCAGCACAGAAACTGCATTCAGCCCTAAGGTGTTTCCTATACCTAGTCCTCCATCACTTACCTGGTCAAAGCCTGAAACCACCCTTGACCCAAAACTTATCCCTAACTTCCCCAGATTCCTTCCCCTTTTTTCGAAATGTGAGAGGGGAGGGGGCGAGTTAGGCGGAAGAAAATTCCTTTGAGAGCAAACCCTGGAGCCACCATAGCTTCCCATGCTTATCTTTTTGTCTTCGCAGGGAAGGTGAAGGTTCTTAGCTTAAAAACCCAACAAAAAAAAATAATAGTAATAATAAAATACTAATAAATAATAATAATAAAAATAACCCAAGAGCCTAAAGGCAGGCTTGCTGACTCCTTCCGGGAAAGTGTTTAGTGCCTTGCTAGCCAAGATCTGCCTAGACTCAGCGCAGTGCAGTTGCTATGGCCAGGGAATTCATCCTACAGACACTCTGGTTCCCTGTGAGAGTGAGTGTTTTAAGGGGAAAGAGAGAGACTAAAGAAAAGTTTGGTGCTGTTAGCATTTACAATGAAGCAAGTCCCAGTCACTCTTTGGAGACTCTCTTCTGCCCATTTATAGTAACAGCAAAGTCAAGGTAAGTATTCCTAACCAAGTGTGGTGGGTGGTGCGCAGTAGGGGGTCCTTTGGAGCAGTAAACTGGAATTGACAGTCTTGTAAGAAACCTGGCTAAATCCCCATTAGTAATCTTACTATCGGTGGAATTAACTCTATCCTTGAGTTTCATCCTTCTCGACCTTAGATCTACTCTGTCCTACCTGTGCCATTCTGGTCCCCACCAACTCATCTGATTATTATGCTCCCCATAGAGTCCACTCCTAGATTAACTTTTAAGTCAATATATTTAATTTATTTTACCTTTTAGTATGAAATAGGTGCTTAGAGGCCTTGATGTAATCCAAGGGTATAGGTTGCTTTCACCAACCGAGAAAGACCCCAACTCCTTTTCCTAAATTTTTAAACTCAGTATGTAAGAATTTTGCACTGGACTTGTAACTGAAGACCTGAGAATTAAATTTGGCCATTTCTTTAAGATTTATTTATTTTCCAAGAGGGGGACGGAGGGAGGAAGAGAGGAAGAGAGGAAGGGAAATATCGATGTGTGAGAGTCACATCTATCAGTTGCCTCTCGCACACCCCCAACCGGGGACTTGGTCTGCAACACAGGCATGTGCCCTGACTGGGAATGGACTGGTAATCTTTTGGTTTGCAGGCAGGTGCTCAGTCCACTGAGTCACGCCCGCCAGGGGGAATTTTGTCTCTCCCTTTAAAAAATGAAATTTATAGTGGAGCTTAGAAGCAATCTCAAAGTGTTAACTACAATAAGCATCCTTAGTCTACTGCTAACTATAATAGAAAGGCTCTTATTCAATTCATGGAATGGCCTAGGATTGATGCCTTTGTCCCAAAGAGTGATTGAGAGGGTGTGTCACGAGTTACCTGGGACTGGCAATGCTGTAACCCCCAAGCAGGGTGGGGAGGCAATGTCTTATTTTTTCCATGCCGACTTTGCAAGATCCAGTCAGCACAGGTGTTAAGGTATAAAATGATGATCTCGTGACATTGTTCTGAGGATTATTTATCCCATTGGATTCTTGGCTATGTAATAATGACCGTCCCAAGCCCCGGTAAAACTGTCAGGTCCTCAGAGCACTCCTGGGGGAGGTGGGGAGGTTAGTGACCTTACCCATACATCATAGTTAGATTAAAAAATAACCCAATAAAATGTCCTGTTTATTATGCCTTTCAGTTACCCCTCATGTTTCAGGCATCTCCTGTATTGTGTAGCAACTTTTGTTATTGTCCAATCTTTGATACTTTTTCTTGTCATGACAGACTAACTGTATGGAAGAGAACTTAAAAGCTTTAAAAAACCTAATAAGTATATATAATATGTAATATATAATATACAATATATAACATGGTACACTTGTGTATAGTATGATTATGTATGTAAATTACTATGTGTCAGGTTCTTTATATATATACTCTTAACATCTCTGGAGCAGGTGCTATTCTTTCCATTTTACAGGTGAGAAATGTGGAGGCTACAAAAAGTTAACTGGTTTGCTCTGGACCACACAGCTCACAAGTGACTGCACTGGGGCTGAACCCCAGGACTGCCTGGCTCCTCAGCTCATGCTGTCCCCTACTTCTGTGTCACACTGACTATTTCACAACTCCAAACTGCTAGATGATGAAATGTAACAGCAGAGAAGGCTCACTGGGGGAAAGTTGAGGCTGGCTGGTGGTTTGATTTGTTGCAAAACATTAATGAAAATTACATGAGTGCCTTTGGCAGGAGGTGTTCTTGCTGCTTGTACTTCTGTTTCTGATGAGTCGTGTCTGCATGGTATTGGAAAGTAAACCATAAACTGAAAGACAAAATATTATGTGTTCCAGGCCAGAAGTCTGGAGAGAAGATAAGTGAGACCTTTAGGTTTGTGCCAATTTTAAGGGATGCCTAGAAGGGCTTGCCTAGATATGATACAAAGCACTCAGGTGTCTTTTGCCCTCAGGGATCTTGCTTTGACTGGACAGATAGAATGCTGGCAGTGGGGCAGTCAGAAGAGGAGGGAGCCGGAACTGACAAGGAATTGAGGTCTGAAATTCTGCAGGCATGATGAATTCCAGATAGAGGGACATTTGCTGGAAGAACCTGCTCAGCTGTGTGCTGGCCTAGAAAGCACCCAATATTAGTGTTTTCCTCTGTCACTGTGACTAGGTGTCTAGCTTAGTGCCACCTCCTGACCTTCACTTATTAAAGTTAATTATCAGTATCTTGGCACTAACTTTGGCTGCTTGGCTAGACAGGCATGGAGTGGTCTTGTGAAGGCTAAAGTCCCGAATGGACTTGGTGGCAAGTTCAGGTAGAACTTTGAATTAGAGCTGATACTATATACACAAGATTTTCTCCTTTTGATGTACCTTAACTGCAGACTTCTAGAGTGTAACACCTCGAAGGGAAACCCAGAGGGGAAAAAACCCAGCCTGGATTATTTTTCATGTGAATAAACCTACATTGAACAAGTTCTCTGAGAGAGGTAGAGATAGTGGGAATCCAGGGATGAGTTCGTATTTGGATCTTGCCCGCAGGTACAATTTATACGTAATCGTTGCCTTGGCCAGTGTGGCTCAAGTTAGTTGGAGTGTCTTTTTTTGACCCATGAACCAGAAGGTTGCCAGTTTGATTCCTGCTCAGGGCATAAGCCTAGGTTGTGCATTCTGTTTGTGGTCTGAGTGTGTATGATCCCAAGTCTGGGCGCATCCAGGAGGCAGCAAATTGATCTTTCTCTTTCTCCCTTCCTCTCTTTAAACAAGCAATTAAAAAAAATGTCTTCTGGTGAGGATAAAAAAAATAATGTACGTGGACATCAGTCCTGCTGGTTTGGTTTCACTCTCATATGGAATCAACAGACAAGTGTTCTAAAAACAATACACAAGATATGATTGATGTTAAACTCTTTAAAAACTTGAAGTAAATTTGCTGTTAGTCTGAAAGCCAGAGGAAGAAAAATCTGCCAAATTTCATAATGACGTATATTAGCATCAGTCAGGACACTGACTTATAATCGGCAGGAATGGGTCACGCAGGCCTGTACCGGAATGTGGGATTTCTGACTTACCCTGTGAATCTGACCCCCATCCCTGCTGTCAAAATGTATAGAATGTGATCAGGGTTTCTTTTTTTATCTGAACTGTTTTTAAAGGCATATGAATGAATCTGCCTCAGGTCCAGTCCAAAAGGAAAACAAATAAACAAATAAATCCCCAGTGTAAACATAATACACAAGCAAGCTAAATCAACAAGAAAAAAATTTTCTTGGAATGTATACTGACTTAAATCGGGGAACCCCCCCCCCCCCCCCCCCGAAGCTAACTAGGCCGAAATCTAACAATTGACTATAAAATTACATGTTAGTATGGTTCAGTTTGGACAAAATCCAAATTGGTAAGCACACTATTTTGGTAAGCACAGTTAGTGCCATATTTTCCAGGACAGTCTGCAGAAGGCTCCTTTCTCCGGGTCTGTCTTTATTGGATAAGGGCAAGTAGGCATGAACTGCTTGGCTGACTTGATCTAGCAAGTGGCCTCTGTGCTTTCTGCATCATAAATTAGAAGGCGGACACATCACCCTTAAACTTTACGCTGGACCCAGTCCCTGA